GAAGGACACTCTCCCGGAGGTGGGTGTATCATTGTCAAAGTCTACAATCAAGAGAAGACTTCAAGGGAGCAAATACAGAGGGGTCACCACAAGGTGCAAACCATTCATAAGCCTGAAGAATAGAAAAGCCAGATTAGACTTTGCCAAAAAACATCTAAAAAAGCCAGACCAGTTTTGGAAAAGCATTCTTTGGACAGATGAAACTAAGATTAATCTGTACCAGAATGATGGGAAGAAAAAAGTGTGTAGAAGGCTTGGAACAGCTCATGATCCAAAGCACACAACATCATCTGTAAAACATGGTGGAGGCAGTGTGATGGCATGGGCATGCATGGCTTCCAGTGGCACTGGGTCATTGGTGTTTATTGATGATGTGACAGAAGCAGTCGGATGAATTGTGCAGTGTTTACAGATATACTGTCAGCCCAGATTGAGTCAAATGCAGCAAAGTTGATTGGACGGCATTTCACAGTACAGATGGACAATGATCCAAAACACACTGCAAAAGCAACCCAGGAGCTTTTGAAGGAAAAGAAGTGGAATGTTCTGCAATGGCCGAGTCAATCACCTGATCTCAACCCAATTGAGCATGCATTTCAATTGGTGAAGGCAAAACTAAAGGCAGAAAAGACCCACAAACAAAGAACAACTGAAGACAGCTGCAGTTAGAGCCTGGCAAGGCATCACAAAGGAGGAAACCCAGTATTTGGTAATGTCCATGTGTTCCAGACTTCAGGTAGTCATTGCCAGTAAAGGATTCTCAACAAAATATTAAAAATGAACATTTTATTTATGATTATATTAATTTGTGAATTACATTTGAGCCCCTGAAAACGGAGGGACTGTGCATAAAAATGGTTGCAGTTCCAAAAATTTATGCTTGATATTTATGTTCAACCCCTTGAATTAAAGCTGAAAGTTTGCACTTCAAATTCATTTGGATTGTTTCGTTTTAATTTATTCTGGTGGCATTCAGAGCCAAAAGTATGAAACGTGTGCCTGTGTACAAATATATATGGACTTAACTGTATATCTATATAGTACATGGTCCCACGCATCTATACACAGACCCCAAACAGCTATTCAGTACAACTTGGCTAGAGATTGAGATGTGTGGGAATGGTGTAGGAAATTACGGGACAATGTACTGTATAGATGCATGGGTGTACACCTATAGATGTATGAGGCCAACCTATAGACATGGACCATCTGGAACCTCACAGTAAGATTCTGTTGCTTCCCAGATGCTCTTCTAGCTGTCAGTCTGATTATTCTTCATGTAGCTGTAAAAACCATTGCAGAAGACAGGCTGCATGGACCATACATAACTATATATAGGCCGCACACATCTATACAATATATGGTCCCCACGCATCTAAACAGTAAATGGCCCCCATACATCATTATGTGGATCTTGAACATCCATACAGTACATAGCCCCACACATCTAGACATGAACCCAAAACATCTATACAGTACAACTTGGCCAGAGATATGGATATATGAGGACCATGTAGAGATGAAGGGGACAATGTATTGTATACATGGGGTCCACCTATAGATATGGAACATATGGAACCTCACAGTTAATTTATGTAGCTTCCCAGATGCTCTTTTAGCTGCCAATCTAATTATGTTTTATCTAAATGAAATCTCATAGCAGAGGAAAGGCTGCATGGACCCCACACATCTATGCAGTACATGGCCAGTACATCTGTGGACATGGACCCCACACACATCACATCTATGTGCAATCTATGCATGGACCCCACACATCTATGCAGTACATGGACCCCACACATCTGCAGTACATGGACCCCACACATCTATGCAGTACATGGACCCCACACATCTATGCAGTACATGGACCCCACACATCTGCAGTACATGGACCCCACACATCTGTGCAGTACATGGACCCCACACATCTATGCAGTACATGGACCCCACACATCATGCAGTACATGGACCCCACACATCTATGCAGTACATGGACCCCACACATCTGTGCAGTACATGGACCCCACACATCTATGCAGTACATGGACCCCACACATCTATGCAGTACATGGACCCCACACATCTATGCAGTACATGGACCCCATACATCTATGCAGTACTTAGACTCCATACATCTATCCATGGCTCCCACACATCTGTACAGTAAATGGCTCTGATACATTTATACATGGCCACCACACATCTATACAGTAGACACCATACATCTATACATGGCTCATGCACATAAATATGTGAGCCCCACACATCTATGCAGCCAATGGACCCCATACATCTATTCATGGTGCATGCACATCTGCATCTGTACAGTACCTGGCCCCCACACATCAATAGGTGGGCCCTATACATCTATATAATACATGGCCCCCCAGATCTATACATTGACCACAAACATCTATGCAGTACAACCTGGCCAGAGACAGGGAAATATGGAGGCCATGTATAGATGTAAGGGGAAATGTCCTGTACAGACACATGGGGTTTGATTTACTAAAAATGGAGAGTGTAAAATCTGGTGCAGCTGTGCATGGTAGCCAATCAGCTTCTATCTTCAGCTTGTTCAGTTACGCTTTGACAATAAAACCTGAAAACTTAAAGGTTTCTATGCAGAGCTGCATCAGATTTTGTACTCTCCGGTTTTAGTAAATCAACCCCATGGAGTCCACTTATAGAAGTTTTGAGTCTATCTATAGCTGAATGGAGTCCAGCTAAAGGTGCATGGGGTCCACCTCTAGATTCAGAGGTCTACGAATGTATGGGGCCACATATATATGTATTAAATCTACATATACAGTAGATACGCGGTGTCCACCTCTAGATATGTAGGGGTCTGTATATGTATGTGTGGTGGCGATGTGGGGGTCATGTATAGATGTATGAAGTCTACATATAGATGTATGGGCCCTCAAAATACTGTACATTGTCCATACTTCTGTATGTGAACCCCACTAATCTATATACCACCCATACATCTTTATAACCAGATCCAATGTCTATTCTATAATCTGCCTGTATCCCCCAATCATAGGCATCCTCTGAAGCTCATCCATTTCCACAGCTTGCCATCCTTCCCACATTTCTCCCCCAGAATAGCTCTCTAATCTATTTTAGCACCCAGATACCTGCTCTGGCTCCATATGACCAGGAGAGAGGGCGCCGCTCCCAGTTGCTCAGTTCAGATTACTGTACTAAAGCCACCCAGACAAGAGAGAGAGAAAAAAAAGAGGGCCTGTTGTTGTTTTCACAATACAAATCACCCTTAGATGCCCTTTTCCCCCTCTACTAGGTACCCTCAATGCAGTCCAGAGGTAGCCTTCACAAGCTATGAGCCAGCGATGGGGGAGGTGAAACATCCTCCCCATTCTCCAGTGTGGGGGGGAGGGGGAATCTTTGCAGTAAGAGGCTTGGCGGATCCTGGAAGGGGTTAAATCAAACTAACTTCAATCCGATTAAAAAGGTTGCTATTGCGGGCTGTCACTCCAAATCTGCCACCAGCAGGAAGAATAACCTCCTAGCTTGATGGGAGCAGTAAGAGGCCATAAAGGCAGTTAATGTCTAATCCCCAGCCAGAGGCCTCAGTGCTACAAGTTTAAGAAAGCATTTGACACAGTCCAATCCAGAACACATAGGAGCTGTACATACCCAGCCAGGGTGTGCAAGCCATGCCCCTCCCCCACCAGGGCCACTCAAGGGTTAAACATTCTCCCTGCACAGGGAGGGGGGCATGCAGCAAGTTTTGGGAGAATATTTCTTCTTGCAGATAGTAGATACACAATAGGCACCTCTCCCCACCCCATCCTTCCTTAGAAAAGTCAGCTTAACCCTAAAAACTGCCCCCCTCCCCCAAGGCACAGGATTAACCCCTGACAGCCCAGGGCAGAAGAAATCCCCAGCAGGATCTGTCCTCAATGCACAATTCTGCACCCCCTCCATCCATCCATCCATCCACAGCAACATAATCAATCATATTTATGACATTTCACAGAACATCAGAATGTTTTATAAACACAGGGAAGACATTGTATCTGCACAATGGCAAGCAATGTCCCCTGCTCGGGGCAGGAAGGGTTAACAGAGGAGGGGGAGGGGGGCTGGATTTTTTTAGGGTTGGGGGCAGGGAGGGCACAGATTGCCCAATCTTACCTCCACACACAGGGGCCACCGGGGCAGGAGACGAAGAGCTTCATGGCAGACAGAGGGGTCCTCAGATCCTTAGTGTAGTCCTGGGGGGGGGGGGGTCACAGCTGCTTCCTGGGGCTGACTTGTGCCATGCCGGGGGGAGGGGGTCCTCAGTGGGGTCCCCTGGCAGTCACCGGCTGCACCCCCATGTCTGGGGTATCCTACATCCAGGGGGTGCACAGGTTGGGCCCTAGAGCAGGGAAAGAAGGGGGGGTGCACAGTCCCTGGCACCTAATCTGCAGGGAAGAGACTGCAGCCCCTGGGTGCTCCCCCCTCTGCACCCCCATGCAGGGTCCCCCGCACCCAGCCAAGAGGCAGCTTGCTAAAAGTTGGATTTAGAAGAGAAAAGGCAGAGGAGGAGGAGGAGGAGAGAGGAGAGCTGGAGCCTTTTCTTCTCTGCTCCGAAGAGCAATCAAACGCCCATCTCATGGATGACGTGCAGGGGGGGGGGGCTGGGCTGTCAGGGCCCCCCTCCCCTCCTCTGTTTAACCAACACACTTCAATCAGCCATCATGGGGGGCATCATATGATTATTAACCAAAGGTGACACATCCGGGGTGCTGGGGGCACACAGCTCATACAGCTCGGCTACAATGTATCAATCCTGCCAGCTGATACAATGTAACCAGAGACACCATGATCATCGCAGGATCCCATGTGTATGGACAGATATTATTTATGTCATTTATACGATAGATTCAATTATTAGTCATGTATTATTTTATATGTTTGATATATTGTACAGTGATCACCAGAGGACACTGAGCCATTCACATATCTCTGCACCAGAGCTTACACTCTACTGTCCCCACCAGGGGCGGACTGACAACTCATGGGGCCCCCAGGCAATAGGGGATCATGGGGCCCCTGTGTCCTTGCCCAAACTCAAAAAAGCCTATGAAAAAGTACCAGGGGCATCTCACGGGGCCTACTATTGACCCCGGGCCCTCCAAATGGTCATTCTGCCCCTGGTCCCCACCACAGTCACACACTATTGTTATTATTATACATTTTATATAGCTCTGATATATTCCATAGTGCTGTATAGAGAACATTGAGCCATTCTAACTCAGCACCAGGGGAGCTCACATTCTAATGTCTCACAATGGTCACACGCTAATATTATTATTCTTTTTTTATGGCTCTGACATATTCCGTAGTATTGTACAGAGAACACTAAGCCAGTCACATCAGTCTCTGCACCAGAGGAGCTTACACTTCAAAGACATGCTGGTCGGTTAATTGGCTCCTGTCTAAATTGTCCCTAGTATGTGTATGTATGAATAGGGACCTTAGATTGTACGCCCCTTGAGGGTTAGGGACTGATGTGAATGTACAATATATAAAGCATAAATTGACAGCGCTATTTAAGTACCTGAAATAAATAAAAATAAATTCTATTGTCTCACCATTATTATTATACAGGATTTATATAGCGCCAACAGTTTGCACAGCACTTTACAAAATGAAGGTAGACATTACAGTTACAATACAATTTGGTACAAGAGGAAACAGAGGGTCCTGCTCGATAGAGCTTACAATCTAGGGGGAAGGGTTGAATGATACAAAAGGTAATAGCTGGGGGGGGGATGATCTGATAGAGGAAATAAATGGTGTTTTACTAGTTAGAAGCAGGATAGACTTCTTTAAAGAGAAAGGTTTTCAGGGATTGTCTAAAGGTGGATAGATTAGGAGATAGCTGAACAGATTGGGGTAGGGAATTCAATAGGATGGGAGAAGCTCAGGAGAAATCCTGGTGGCGAGCATGGGAGGAGTTGACACAGGAACTAGAGAGCAGGAGGTCTTGGGAGGATCGGAGAGAGCGGTTTGGTTGATATTTTGAGACCAAGTTGGTGATGTAGCTGGGGGCAGAGTTGTCGATGGCTTTGTAAGTTGTTGTTAGTAGTTTGAATTTTATTCGTTGGGTGAGTGGAAGCCAGTGGAGGGATTGGCAGAGAGGGGTAGCAGACACAGAGCCCCAGTTCACATATATGCGGCCGTGCAGGCCATGTTTTGCATGGGCACAAGAGCCCATTCATTTGAATGGACTCCTGTGCCCTGTGACACACAGGGAAGAAGTCCCTGCACTTCTTCCGAAAACGCAGCCCGCACGGGAACCTCGGTTCCCAGTACAGTTGCGTTTTCCAGTGCGGGCAGCGTGCCATTAAAACAAACGGCACCCGCCCGCAGGTCCGCATTTCTCTGTGGATTTTCGTGCTGATCCACAGTGGCACCACCTGCACAGATGTGAACCTAGCCTGAATGGTTGGTAAGGTGGATCAGCCTGGCAGCAGTATTCATGATGGACTGGAGGGGGGATAGCCTACTAAAGGTAAGCCAATGAGCCAATGACACACCACAATCACTAATATTATTATACATTTATATAGCTCTGACATATTCCAAAGTGCTGTACAGAGAACACTGAGCCAGTCACATCATTCTCTGCACCAGAGGAGCTTACACTTAATTCTCACACAGTCACACACTAATATTACTATACATTTACACTCACCGGCCACTTTATTAGGTACACATGTTCAATTGCTTGGTAACACAAATTTCTAATAAGCCAATCACATGGCAGCAACTCAGTACATTTAGGCATCTGGACATGGTGAAGACAACTTGTTGAAGTTCAAACCGAGCATCAGAATGGGGAAGTAAGGTTTAAGTGACTTTGAACATGACATGGTTGTTGGTGCCAGACAGGCTGGTCTGAGTATTTCAAAAACTGCTCATTTTCTGGTATTTTCACACACAACCATCAGACTCATCGGACCAGGCAACGTTTTTCCAATCTTCTATTGTCCAATGTTGGTGAGCCTGTGCGAATTGTAGCCTCTGTTTCCTGTTCTTAGCTGACAGGAGTGACACCTGGTGTGGTCTTCTGCTGCTGTAGCCCATCTGCTTAAAGGTTCAACATGTTGTGCATTCAAGGATGGTATTCTGCATACCTTGGTTGTAACAAATGGTTATTTGAGTTACTGTTGCCTTTCATCTCAAACCAGTCTGCGCATTTTCAACCACACAACTGCCTCTCACTGGATATTTTCTCTTTTTCTGACCATTCTCTGTGAACCCTAGAGGTGGTTGTGCGTGAAAATACCAGTAGATCAGTAGTTTTTGAAATACTCAGACCAGCCCGTCTAGCACCATCAACCATGCCACACTAAAAGTAATATAAATATTTCCTTTCTTTCCCATTCTGATACTTGGTTTGACCTTCAGCAAGTTGTCTTCACCACGTCTAGATGCCTAAATGCATTGAGTTGTTGCCATGTGATTGGTTAATTAGCAGTTTGTGGCTGGTGAGTGTATATAGCTCTGACATATTTCATAGTGCTATACAGAGAACACTAAGCCAGTCACATCAGTCTCTGCACCAGATGAGCTTACTCTCTAATGTCTTACCACAGTCCCACACTAATATTATTATACAGTTTTATAGCTCTTACATATTAAGCAGTCATGCACAGAAAACACTGAGCCATTCCCATCAGTCTCTGCACCAGAGGAGCTGACATTCTAATATTCCACCACCGTCACACACTATTATACATTGATATAGTTCTGGCATATATCCCAGTGCTCTTACTGGATGCTTTGTGATTAATTTTAGTATCTACTCCTGTGTTGGCAAAATTCAAACAAAATAGGTATGTGTAACCTGAGGGATTGCCACCATAGAATGGGCCAGCACCAGACCAGGTTACTCCTTGTCAGAACTAGTGGCTCTAGGTGCCTTTGTCTTATTCCAATAGCCATTTCAGATACTATTTTTCATTTTTCTTTATTTTTCAGCAGATTTACAGATTTAGCCTTTGTGGAAATTGTATTGAAATGTGTCTTTATGTAGACTGCTTGGGTGAAGTTTGCTTGAGGAAAAAACAAATCACCATATCAGCCCTGAGATGGTAATAATGCTAACCCTTACTCTAAACCCAACATAAATCCTAAATCTAACTCTAATGTTACCCCAAACCCTAACTCTATACCCAACACTACCCTAACTCCAGCTGCGATACATAGCTAACTCCCAACACTAACACTAATTCCAATGTGAAACCCTAACTCTAGCCTTGCCATTATCCCTAACTCTAAACCAACCCTTAACCCTGATGCCAAAATGCCTAACTCCAAACCCAACACTATGCCTAACTCCAAACCCAACACTATGCCTAACTCCAAACCCAACACTATGCCTAACTCCAAACCCAACACTATGCCTAACTCCAAACCCAACATTACCCCTAACTCAAACCATAATGCTAACTCTAACCGTAACACAGCCCCTAACTCTAGTGCCAACACTACTCCTAATTCTAAACCCAATGCTAACTATAGATCTAACCCCAACTCTAAATCCTACACTAACCCTAACCCCAATGTGAACCCTTACTCTAATACTGGCTTTCTCAGGAAGGGTTCCCTAGGGTTCATCCAGAGGTTGCTAGGGGTTCCTTGAGCTGTGGCAGATTTATTTCCGATCCACAATGACCACCAATATAAGAGGGCATATTCCCACTCACAGCTAGTATAAGGGGTTACTTTTACCCTGATCACCAATGTAAAGGTGCTTCCCACCCTCTGACCACTAATGTGAGATGGAATTTTTCATTTAACTCCCAATGTATGGGGACATTTGCACTGAAAACTATTACAAGAGGACACCACAATTTTCACAGTGTGTGCTTCTTTTCTGTTTATCATTATTTGGTTAATTTCATTATCGTTGTATGGAGCAGGATAATGTTGCGAATTAATCCTCTTGGGATGTCAAATACTTTGTTTTTCTTTTTTTCTTAATATTCTGCAATTTACCGTATTTATTCGAGTATAACGCGCAAAATTTTCTACCAAAAAAAGAAATCAAAGTTTGGGTGCGCGTTATAAACGAGGGCTGGGGTGGGGTGACGCAGTGGCGGCCGATCCATTGAGGGCGCAGGCGCTCACTGTACGAGAGGGCGAAGAAAAAAAAACGTTCCTGTGCCGGCCCCGCCCCTTTAAGGGGCGGCGAAAACAGGGGATCGTTTTTTTTTTTTCTACGTCCCCTCGTCGCGTACAGTGGGCGGCCCGAACTGGCGAGATGCACTGGTGGGGTGACGCAGTGGCGGCGGTCCATTGAGGGTGCAGGCGCTCACTGTACACGAGGGCGAAGAAAAAAAAAACGTCCCCTGTGCCGGGGCCGCCCCTTTAAGGGGCGGCGAAAACAGGGGATCGTTTTTTTTTTTTTCTATGTCCCCTCGTCGCGTACAGTGGGCGGCCCGAACTCTACACTGGGGGTGAGAATTCTTATCCGCTGTAACATATGGTCGCCTCTTCATTTCCTTTCCTCGCCTCGCCCACACGTTCGGTAAGCATTGCTGTTTTGCACAATTCAGTGTTCTTCATATTTTTGGTTCTTCAAAAAGTGAAACAAAATTTTATACCGATTTTTAATCGAAAATTAGGGTACACGTGTGCGCGTTATACTCGAATAAATACGGTAATGCTCATGCTAATAGACTGTGACCCGTAGAAGTAATATTTCTTTGTACTAGGGGTTCACTATTTTAAAGGTTCCTCTGGGTTAAAGAGTTGAGAAAGGTTGCACCAACTGCTTAAAGGAGAAGTGTAGATAAATCTATTTAGACATCTCCTATGGGTCACAGGAGTGCACTTCGTTCTGAACTCCTGTGACCCGTTTTCATCAGCCCATTGTTGGCTGATGTCACAGAAAAGATCCTGATTGTATGGTAAGGATCCACCCAGTAGCCTGGACCAGCACCTGGATCAGCCTCTCAGCAATCGCCGAGAACCTGAGCAAGCTGCTCCAACCCCCTCCACAGCCAGCACTCCAGTGAATGCTGGAGTGGCAGAGCAGAGAGCTGGAGACTGACAGTCCCAGCTCTCTGGTCAGAACAGAGATAGAACTGAGCAATAAGCGATATTTGATTGCTTAATTCTCTGTGTAAAGCTGGCAGGGGACAGATGCAGCATCAGATTGATGCTGTATCAGGGGCGGACTGACAACTCATGGGCCCCCGGGCAATAGGAGATCATGGGGCCCCTGTGTCCTTGCCCAAACTCAATAAAGCCTATGATAAAGGTGCCAGGGGCATCTCATGGGGCCCCCTACTGACCCCGGGCCCTCGGGCGGTGCCCGAGTTTCCAAATGGTCAGTCCGCCCTTGTGCTGTATCCACCTAGGTGAATATAATGTTTTTTTTTCCATAGCCTATACTTTTCTTTTACGTTGGCCATACATTTGTAGATTTTTGCGATAATGTTTGTACAACCATTAATACAAAAATTGTTATCAGTACATTCGGTGAATTGACAAATGTCAATTTAACTTTTATCATTTGGGTCTAGAGTGAATGGACTTTCCTGAATGAAAACCACATACACTATTAGAAATTCAATAATTTTAAAACAAATTTCCATCCTGCTCCTTTTAATTTTATCATACCTGCAGTTGAAAACAAACCCCACTAATGATTAAAAAATCAAATGAATGTTCATAAAACAAAGATTTTCTAACAAATTTCTACTAGTGTATGGCCAACTTTACTGTAATCTGTTCCTCGGTTTCTAATATCATATTCCCAGCTATTCAGACTTTTTTGTTTTGTTTTTATACACAAGAACAAGTCCAGGGTTGTTGAAAGGAGCTTCCCTAATCCTCAGGAGCCATTTAAAGCCAATTTCACCCTTAAAAGCTACTAAAAAAGCCCTCATATCTCCTGTCTCATGGACACCAATTACTTTAGCCAAACTGCAAATATATCAGCAAAGCTAAAATCCCCAATTTCATTTATTCCTAACAATCGCAGCCATACTGGTGGTGAAAATACTATAATGAAATGCCACGTGATAAAGGTTTTGTTACTATTTACAATGTAACAAATTATTGGTTCTGAGAAACCTGCAGCAAAATAATGCGATCTGCAGCAGACAACTCACCTAGGTTCAGTTCACACTATGGGGGAGATTTACTAAAACTGGAGAGTGCAAAATTTGGTGCGGATCTGCATGGTAGCCAATCAGCTTTCAGGTTTTAATTTTCAAAGCTTAATTGAACAAGCTGAAGTTAGAAGCTGACTGGCTACCATGCACAGCTGCACCAGATTCTGAGTGCACCAGTTTTAGTAAATCTTCCCCTATAAATCGCACAGGATGTAATTCAATTTGGTGCGTTTTGAGACCATTGATTTTGAATGGGCTCAAATCGCACTACATTGCACCAAAAGTAGTGCAAGTAGTACTTTTAAAAATGCACTTCAAGCGGATCGCATGGTACTTTTATACTGTTCAATCCAGTGCAGATAAATGCACTGCATTTGCAACCTGCATCGGGGGTGTCATTAGCTTAACATTGACACCCGCTGCAGATCCCAACTGTACTGCATTTTGAACTTGGTGCAGGAAACCCGCAATCTGTGCATGTTCTAGTGTGAACTTAGCCTTAGGGAGAGCTAGAGGTGGTAAAATGACTTTTAGGCCCCACGCACACAGATGATGAGAAGCTGGAAATATGCTGGGCATAAAATTCCGGGTGTATTGCCATGCTCACGAGCCATAGGTGGCACATACAACTTGCATACAAGAGCATGCATATACAAGGTTGTAGCCTTGATAGGGCCCACTCACATCTAGCGATTTGGGATCACGGGCAGAATTGCAGTATTTCTGGCCATGATTCCAAATCGCACTGCATTCGTGGCAAAACACAACATGCACATGTGTGTAGCAAGCCGATATGTGTAGCATAATGGCACCGCTCCAAGCTGGAGCTAAATAATCACCTCACTGGTATGAAGGGGGAGCAGTGTCCACAAGAGTTTCCAGTTTAGCAAGCGTGATGTGGGAAAGGACGCAGCTTAAACCGCACATGGAATCTTGTGTGAAGATGGCCTCAGCCATCGCTCCAGCCATGCCCACTGATGCGTTTCGCACCACCCACAGGTGTGCTTGGTCACAGAGGAGTGTGACCAAGCCCCAGTTGGTGGGTCAAAATGCATCAGAGGGCATGGCAGGGACGACTGAGGCCATCTTCACACAAGATTCCATGTGCGGTTAGAGCGGCGTCCTTTCCCACATCATGCGCATGTGTGCCATTCATTTTTAATGGCACCTAAACCACATCTCGCAGAGCTTGTCGCCCAAAGGAAACTCCTGCTCCTTTTTGGGTGACAATATTTGCGTGACACAGTTTGCCACGATTGTGATAAGTTGTGCAACAATCAAGGCAAAATTGCACTGTATTTTAGATGCCATTAAAAATGAATGGCACACAAGCACACGTGGTATGTTTTGCAAGGATTGCAGTGCAATTTGGAATCACAGGCAGAATCACAGCGATTTCACTCGTGATCCCAAATCACTAGATGTGAACGGGGCCTACATGTTGACTCTTTTGTGCATCACACATTTACCCACACATGTGTGTACAATATATTTCCTAAACACAAAACTTCCATGTTCAGAATTACATAAAAGGCATATGTGTAGTTAATCACCGATGCACCCAACAAATAGCTGTAGATCCTTTCTGCCCGTTCACACCTGTACACGTAATGTACATAAATGCACATTGCTCATGTGTTGTGCATGTGTTTTGGGGGAGTGTCTAGTCATTTCCAATGTACCCAAAGTGTAATGAATCAGAAAAAACACACAAAAACCTACGGAACTGAAACGCATGTATAGACACCTTCATTGCTGTACAGCAGGGAAAAAAAAGGTCATGCGTGTTTTTTAAGGTGTAGGTGTGCATTGAGGGCTCGGGAAAAATGGATGTGTATACAAAAAACACATGCCTCTGTGTTTGAAGATGCATATGTAATAATGCATGCTAAATTATGTGACAGGGTAACTTTTCCAGGTTATCTCTCTCCCCTGACAATGCCTTCATTTGCTTTTCTTCCCAGAAGAAAGGCACCATCTTTGTTCAGGCATCATCCAGGATCGCCATCTACTTGCTGGTCTGAGATGCTGGCTCAGAGATGACACAACCATGTTAATCCTGGTGTATAGTCCATAGGGCGCTCCTGCTGGAACCTGACCTCTGTAGCCACTAGGGGGGTGTCAGAATGGATATCAAGGATTGGGAAGCCCAACAGACACTGAGGCAGTGTAAGTGGAATTTTATCTTTGTTGTTAATAATCTGTCAATACTACACTTAGAGGTGCATTCTTTCCATGTTAATCCTGGTGCCTGTCTGATCATTGGGGGGGAGAGGGGGGGGGGGGAGAGAGAGGGAGAGAGAGGGGGGGGGGGGGAGAGAGAGAGAGAGAGAGAGGGGATGTGTGTACAGTTCTGTTTTAGTCCCACTGTATGAGGGGGGACTGAAAAGTTATCAGCCTGACCAAGCTAGAGTAATGAGACTTGCCTGCTATTCTATATATTCACCCCAACACGGTAAGCTCTGCAGAAAACTGCTCTGTTGCTGCTATGATTTTTAAAGTTAGAAAAGAGGTAACAGTCAGACGGCAAGATCTGGTGAATATGCTGGATGGTCTATGCACTGAAACCCTAAATCCTTCAAAACAGTCAGTGTCTTGCCTGCCTTGTGTGAGAGTGCATTGTATATTGGAGAATAGAGGTTGCAGAGGATACAGATGTATGCTGATGCAGTAGCAGCACATCAGTGTGTCAGTAATATTGGGTTTCGGTTTCCATTCTTGGCTTTTAGGTGGATGCTCCTCTGATGTTCACACATAGAGGAGGGGACATCAGGCTGTATCAGGGGTTTCTGAATGATTCTTTTCTCTCCGGAAGATGGTACCATCTTTTTTTAGCTGGGTCGCCATCTACCTCCTGAGATGACACAATCATCTAAATCCTGGTGCCTGTGCTGTTCCTGGCTGTGTTCACAAATATCTGACATAGAACAACTCTTTCTGCAGTTTCTTACTTGTGACTTGCTACATAGTTGCAATTCTGATCAAGTGGGGGGATATTATTATTATTATTATACAGGAGTTATATCGCTCCAACAGTTTGCGCAGCACTTTACAATATAAGGGAGACAGTACAATTACAATACATTTCATTACAGAAGGAATATGAGGGCTGAGAGAGGAGACTGAGGAAATGCTTCCTCTTCCATGCAGCAGAGATTGATGACATCATCTCAGCCTAAGCACAATCATTGGACTGGAAATTAAGGGTAGCTATTTAATGATAAAAGGTGGAACTTTTCTGAAAAATGAAACTGTTGCTCAGGGGCGGACTGACAACTCATGGGGCCCTTGGGCAATAGGGGATCATGGGCCCCTGTGTCCTTGCCCAAACTCAAAAAAGCCTTTGAAAAAGGTACCAGGGGCATCTCATGGGGCCCCCTACTGACCCCGGGCAGTGCCTGAGTTTCCAAATGGTCAGTCCGCCCCTGCTGTTGCTGTATATTGTAACGTCAGGACATTATTTATGTAGGCTTGTAAAGTTACAGACAGGTCTGCTTGTAAGTTTTCTTTCTTAGGCTTCATGCACGCTGGATGCTTTGGCCATCTTTACTAGACACCTTTCCTTTTGGCAGTGGCGTTTTGGCAGAAAAAATGCATGTAATGCATTTAGGCATGTTTAGGCACATCAAGCGCTTGGGCCTTTATTAATTTCATTGGCCAGAATAATAATTTATGCTGCCCATTGAATTAACACTCAAGTGCTAAACATGTCTAAAGGCCCATCAAGCGTATTTAGGCACATCAAGCATTTTTTCTGCCAAAACACTCCTGGACGTGCTAGCAATGGTTTTTTTTTTTACTTTTAAATGCCCTTGCCTCTAAACTCCTATGTGTACATGGACACATGGATAAAGGCAAATAGACCTTGTACTTTGCAAAAAACTTAGTAAATGAGGTAAAGCTTCCTTTTGCCAAGAATACCCAATCACATGCAAGGAAAAGAAAAAAAACAGCATTTTTGTTTGCACATGATTGGATGATGGAAGTCATCAGAGCTTCTGCTCATTTACTTTACTAAGCTCTGGAGCAACTGCACTTTGCAAAGTGCACAGTCTATTTGCCTTTAGTAAGTCAACCCCATAGTCTAACATGCAGGAGCATTTAGAGGCAGAGAAAAAAAAACACCAGATGCCCTTAAGAGCAGCATTATGCAGGCCATACATGGGTCGAATTCCAAACAAATTTTCTTTAGAAAATCAGAAATTTCATGCGTTTTGTAATCTGA